CATTTATGCGTTTAATGTGCCGGGTTATGATCGTAAGCAGACCCTGGTGATAGATCCTACACCAAGCCTGGTGTGGTCTACTTATTATGGTGGTTCCAGTGTCAACAGTGAGTCGATCAATGGTGTGGATATAGATGCCGCAGGCAATGTTTATGTTATGGGACATACTTATAGTGCAGACGGCATTGCAACTTCCGGCACTTACCAGTCAACGGTTTCAACGGGTCGCGATTTATTTGCAGCCAAATTCACAGCCGCCGGTGTTCGTTTGTGGGGCACCTACTACGGCGGTACCGGCTTAGAAACTTCCGGCAGTATTTGTGTCTCGGGGACCTCTGTGTACATAGTAGGGAACACGGTAAGTACAGGGCTTTCTTCAACCGGTGCTCATCAGCAGACAGTGGCAGGCAGTAACGATGGTATCCTTGTAAAGCTGGACGGAGCCAATGGTGCCCGGACCTGGGCCACCTATTATGGGGGCGCCGGCAGTGATAATATAAGTGCGCTGGCTGTAGATGCAGCCGGCAACGTTTATATCGGGGGCAGTACGCCGTCAACATCTACAACCGGTATCGCTACCACCGGTGCTTTACAAACGGCGCCTTCCGGCACCGGTGACGCATTTGTAGCAAAGTTTAATACCAACGGGGTGCGGCAATGGGGCAGCTATATTGGTGGTCCGGGCACGACTGATGTGGTGTTCGGCATTGCGGTGGATGCTACCGGTAATGTATATCTTTCAGGACATACCAACAGTACAGCTGGCATTGCCGCAGGTACGGTTTACCAATCCGTATTTGCAGGTGGTGCTACCGATATGTTCCTCATGAAGCTGAATAGCAGCGGAACGACCAAACTATGGGGTACTTATTGGGGCGGTGATGGAGGAGACCTAAACCGGGGCCTGCTCATTGGCCCAGACGGTAACCTGGTAACGGCTGGTTTTACCGGAACGGCTGCTGCTGTAGGTATATCCAATGGCCTGGCCTCTGCCGGCGCTTACCAGACAACGCCCTCTGGCGAAAGAGATCTTGCTTTCAGCAAGTTTACACCGGATGGTGAACGCCTGTGGTCAACCTATTATGGCG